GGGATTGATATCCTAATAAACTCATATAAGTCGTTTATCTTAGTGTTAATTAAATTCAATCAAATCAAACTTAAAACCCCCCTTGTTACTATTTATATAAAAGAAAAGTATTCCTTCCCCTGTGGATACGAACCTTACTTCACTATACTACGTATTAGTGTTGTATTGATAAATTATTTTGAGTGCACCTCACGACAAGTGCATGTCACAACTACCAAGACTCCATGACCCCCTAGGACCCAACATTGCTTGGGTATCTAAATCTTTCTTTTGATTATGCAGGAGCACTGTGCTCGAGCTATCTCTGAGCAAGAATGATTTATTGATAGTGGATGCTCCAGGCACATGACAGGTGACAGAAGTTGCCTGACTGAGTTCCAGAAATGCAAAGGACCTAGAGTTACCTTTTGAGGTAATGACAAAGAAGGTCAAACAAAAGGAAGAGGGAAGCTGATCAAGAACCAAATAATCATTGATGATGTCTCTTATGTCAAAGGCCTGAAGTTCAATCTTCTTAGTGCTAGCCAATTCTGTGATAAAGTCTACACTGTTGAATTCACAAAGGACTTCTGCTATGTGAAGCATGAGACAACAAAGAAAGTGGTTCTTACAGCAACAAGGAAGAAGAATATCTATGTGATTGATTGGAAAACTGCAAAAGATGGAGTATGCCTGATAGCCAAGGGAGATTCAAAACTATGCTGGGACTGGCACAAGAAGCTTAGCCATTTGAATTTCAAAACAATCAACAAAATGGCAAGAGAACACATTGTAGATGGACTGCCAGACATATTTTACAAGAAAGAGACCCTCTACAGTGCATGCCAGAAGGGAAACCAACAGAAGAACACTTTCAAACCCATTGCTGGAGATCTTTCCACTAGTCCTTTAAATCTCATCCACATGGATTTATTTGGACCAGTTGAGACTCCAAGTGTTGGTGGAAATAAATATACATGAGTCATGGTTGATGACTATTCCTGATATACATGGACTACCTTTTTGACAAAGAAAAATGAAACTCTTCAGAAGTTTCCCTCTCTATTAAAGCAACTTCAGACCGAGAAGAATATGAAAGTTAGGACAATCAGATCTGACAGAGGAACTGAATTTGTCAACCAAGTCATTAAGGACTTCTGTGATCAAAATGGAACCATTCATCAACTCTCTGCCGCCAGAACACCTCAACAGAATGGCGTGGCAGAAAGGAGGAACAGAACGTTGAAAGAAGCTGCAAGGACAATAATTGCAGAATCAGGATTACCAATGAGATACTGGGCTGAAGCAATCAACACTGCCTGCTACACCCAGAACAGAAGCATGATCAACAAGAATCACAAGAAGATCCCTTATGAACTATGGAAAGGAAGGAAACCCAACATCAGTTATTTCCATAGATTTGGATGCACAAGTTACATTATGAATAATGGAAAGGAGCATCTAAAGGTATTTCAATAGAAAACGGATGGAGGTGTATTCATAGGCTACTGAAGCACAAACAAAGCCTATAGAGTACTCAACAGAAGAACTCTACATGTTGAAGAATCCATAAATGTAAAGTTTGATGACATTACCTCTGTTGAAGAAATAACAGATACCCTCAAGGAAGTCACCCTAGCTGACAGAACACCTGAGTCAACAGAAGAAGTGGCAGTTAATCCAGTGTTTCCAACACCTACACCAACCCCCCTTCTGTTAAATGAAGATGAAGATGAAGATGATGAGCAACCAGAGAAACCAAGACAACAACTGATAGAACCTGATCTGCCATGGTTAAGAGATCATCCTCCTAACCATGTGATTGGACAAATCAGAAGTGATGTACAAACCAGATCTGCCTCAACAAGAAGAGAAGCAATGTTTGCCTGCTACATATCTCAGATGGAACCCATGGCTGTAGAAGAAGCCCTTGCAGACTCAGATTGGATCAATGCAATGCAAGAAAAGCTTACACAATTCACAAGGAACAAAGTATGGGAACTTGTTCCTAGACCAAAGCATCAGAATGTCATTGGAACCAAATTGGTATTCAAGATCAAAGCAGATGAAGATGGCAACATTGTAAGGAATAAAGCAAGGCTGGTAGCTAAGGGATACTGCCAAGAAAAAGGAATTGATTTTGATAAGACTTTTGCACCAGTTGCCAGATTAGAAGCCATCAGAATCTTCCTAGCCTATGCTGCCTACAACAACATCAAGGTGTACCAGATGGATGTCAAGAGTGCATTCCTGAATGGAGATCTTGAAGAAGAAGTTTATGTGGAACAACCACTAGGTTTTATCATTCCTACTCAATCTTCTTGTGTCTACAAGCTTAGAAAGGCTCTTTATGGTCTTAAGCAAGTTCCCAGAGCATGGTATGACACATTGTCCCTATTCTTAGTGAACCATGGGTTTACTAAGGGAAAGGTTGACAAAACTATATTTCAGATCTTTGTTGCTAATCATATTCTGTTAGTACAAATATATGTTGATGATATTATATTTGGAAGCACTAATTCAGAATTATGCAAGAAATTCTCTCAAGTTATGCAGAGTCAATTTGAAATGAGTATGATGGGAGAACTCAGCTACTTCATAGGACTACAAGTGAAACAAGTTCCTGAAGGAATTTTTATCAACCAAGGAAAGTACACCAAAGACCTGATCAAGAAGATTGGTGTAGAAGGCAAATCCTCAGTGAAGATTCCCATGAACACTTCTCAAGGAATTGGACCAGATGATGAAGGAAAAGATGTTGATGCAGCAACCTACAGAGGAATCATTGGATCTCTTCTGTATCTAACTGCAAGCAGACCAGACATATCATTCTCTGTTGGAATTTGTGTCAGATATCAGTCAAAGCCCATTGAGAGCCATCTAAGTGCTGCAAAAAGAATCATCAGATACATAAAAGGAAATCCAAATGCAGACCTATGGTATCCCAAGGGAGGTAACTTTGAACTAATTGGTTGCTCTGACTCAGATTTTGCAGGTTGCAGGTTAGACAGGAAAAGCACCTCTGATCATTGCCAATTGCTAGGTGGGAGACTTGTCTCCTGGTTTAGCAAGAAGCAGAACTCTATCTCAACAAGTACTGCAGAAGCTGAATACATTGCAGTCGGGAGTTGCTGTGCTCAGCTACTATGGATGAAGCAACAACTGAAGGATTATGGCATTCAAGCTGTAAGGAATAAATGTAATTAGATTTTGATGATGCTATAGGATTTTAGAAATTACCCCTTAGAAAATTTGTATTAGAATTTTCCTTGTAATTGTTCTAGTATAGTCGACTGACAGAAGACCTCCAGACAGAAGTCCTTTTGGCCCTCTGGTGATAGTGCCTTCACAGAAGTCCTCCTGACTCTCTGTTAGACTTCACTAAGGCAGAAGCACTTAGGTCCTCTGTTGGCCTCTAACAGAACAGAAGGACTGGAGACCCTCTGCTGACTTCCGTTACAACAGAAGTGCTCATGACCTTCTCTGGTGTACACTCTGATAAAGAGACCAGAAGGCCTGACACTTAGAGAAATTCAAGTTTACTTCCAAGCCGGCGAAATCAACGGAAGATTCTCCAACGGCTAGAAGACTTCAACGGAAAAGCTACAGTACGCGCATTAAATGCTCATTTAATGCGGATACGTACGAGAAGATATTTAAAGCAAATAATTGACCACCTTTTGGAAAGACTCTTCTCAAAATAGCAAGTCGCCGAATTCAGTGGGTCCAACCGGTCAAGTCAACAACATGCGCATTAAATGCAGTTGTCCTCCTTCACCTCCAACGGGAAGACAACCCTAAGTATAAAAGATACTCTTCGAAGAACAAAGGCATAACTGAACTTTGCTAACTTTGCCAACTTCACCACATCCTTTGCGAGAAAAGCACATTCAAATTATTCAAGGCAAAAAGGTCCTCTTGAGATTCAAACTCTTCATCCTCAACAAGAGAGACACAAGTTGGAAAGAATATACCTTCATATCATCAAATCCAACAAGAGCAAGGTTCCAACAGTTCTTCAACAACTTCAAGCACTTCATCTACAAATCTTTTGTAACGAAGCAAGTTGGAGGAACCCATGTTTCAACAGAAACTCTTCTTGTTACAAGAAGGACGTCCAAGTAACTGGAGTAGTGAAGTGGTGATACTTCCGGGAAGCTCAGTGAAAGGACCAGTCTTAAAGGAAGCCAGGCAGTGCATCCCAGGAGACATCTAGGCTTGAAGAAGACGTGGAGAGATTCTTAAGTGCTAGGACTAAGGCGTTGTAAACGGTCGTTTTTACAAGCTTAGTGGAACAGTGGATTAGAGGAACGAGTTGTTCCTTGAACCACTATAAAAATCTCTGGTGTCTTTTACTTACTGTTTTTAATATTTGCACGTAGATAGAACTGTCTAACTCCTTAGACTTGGTATCTGTGTTCAGCAGAACTTGTCCTACGAGTTAACAGAAGGCCTACTGCCTTTGCTTCTCTGAGGCTAAATCAACAGAACCCCTAACAGAACCTTATTCGCTGCCAGTCTGTTCTGTCAACAGAACAGGCTATTCTGTAAAATCTGGTACTTAGTTTAAAAAGCTAAAAACCAATACAGTCTATTCACCCCCCCCCCCCCCCTCTAGACTGTATCCAGTACAACCGGGACCAACACAAGCAAAGGAAATCAAGCTTCCCTGTTACAACACAAGTGCCATTGCAATCACTCAGAATCCAGTCCTTCGTTCCTGGACAAAGCACATTGAGATCAGACATCATTTCATTAGAGATCATGTTGAGAAGAAGCACATATGCATGGAACATGTGTCAACAGAAGACCAGCTTGCATATATCCTAACCAAGCCTTTGCCTGAGGCTGGGTTCAACAAGCTAAGAGAAGAATTGGGAATGATGGATGAAATCCCCATAGAAGGTTGAAAGAAAGACTTTCTGTTACAGATTCTCTGTTAACAGAATCCCTATTGCAGAACCCCTTCTGTTCCTCACCTTGAACAGAGAACCTTCGTTCTTACCAGAACACCTCAACAACACAAACCCTTCTTTTTTTTTGGATGAAATGTAAGTATATATATAAGCACCCAAAAAATAGCATTTTACAATGCATCAAAAGACCTCAATGACTATCTAAGCTAGAAAAGACTAACCTAGATAAAATCATTCAATTAAAAATGGGACAACCCCCATATCACAAAGTCGAAAATAAACTGACTAACTATTCCAGTCATTTATTACTTCCCATTTGCCCGATTACTAAAAAATTCAAAAAGAGTCATCCTCTCTGGAACCAGGTCCTCCCCCTTAGAGTTGTCGGTCTCATACCATCCTGAACTCTCATTTTCAATCCTTTTCGGTGCTCTAGCGCCAGATTTGAAAGTCCTTGGCCTACCCGTCTTCCTTTTTTTCTTTTTAATTTTGTTCTTATTTTTAGCACTTTCGTTTCCATTCAGCACAACTTCTGGGAATTGCAGCGAGTTTGCCACCTCATTTCCATCCAACTGTGCCGCAGCAAGTACCACCGGTGTGGTGGCAACAGCAAGTTCCACACAAGTAGTGGAAGTAGCTACCAACGCAGCAACCAGAGCAGTCTGGTTTGGCTCAGCAGGCTGCGCAACATCAACATTGGCAGCAGGTACCAAAACAGGTGCTGGAATTCCCACCTCTGGAACAGCAGGTACCAAAGCTTCAGGAGCTTCATTTGGTTTGGCGCAGCATGTACTCTCCAGTGCACCTACTTTCGCATCGGGTTCAGTTGCACTAATCTCCTTTTCGGCCAGAATTTTGCAAATAAAAGGATGGTGTCCATACTCTTTACAATGAAAGCAAAAACTAGGAAATGTTTCATATACCACAAATTGTTTGAATACCTTTCGAGAAGGTAGTCGTATAGGAAAAGATAATTGTGGTGGCTTGGAAACATCCACTTCGATAAGCACTCTAGCAAAATTGTGGTTGCTCTTGTCTTGGGTGACCTTGTCCGTAGTTAGTGGGACACCAACCATAGACGCCACTTCACTCATCGCCTCCTCATTCCATAGCTTTAAGGGTAGATTAGGGAATTTCACCCAAATTGGCACCTTTAAAAATTCTTCATCATCAAAAGAGAAATCATCGGAGAGTACTTTAAGAAATAGTAGTTTCCCAAAAATGGAGTACGGTCCTCCATTCAACACTTTAGTCCTATCCTGTTCACTTGAAAACTTGAATATAACCCAACCCTTTTTATGGGACCTAACAAGGCACTTCACTCCCCATTCATTGTTTAGTTCATGAATCGCTTTCAATCCGGGGAAAGTACCGGTGAAAAAACCAACGAGACAGTGACCCCACATCTCGGTCATAGAGGGAAAAATCCTATCAGCAAAATCAAGTCCCTTTTCTTTGGGTGGGACATATTTCAGTTTAAGGCCGTGCGTTGGGGCTCGGTTGTCCTTAAACAGATCATTCCAAGATTTTCTTTCCATTTCAGTAGTTATAGCAGCAGTTTTAGCAATTTTAGCAGCAGATTGCGCAGGGGCAGTAAGCATTTCTGCCTGCGATTTGAGCAAGGGAATTTCAGCTGTAACCTTAGCAGGTTGGCATATTCAATCATCTTGTGTAGTCTTGCTAGCTGCCACCAACGTCCCCCCAATTTCCTTCTGCCCAGATTTTGGCATTTTGGAAGTAATTCCAGATTTTTCCCCAGCAGCTTGGACTGAGTTTGCTGCCTCAGAAGTAGTCCCCCCTGCTACTTTCCCATTCTTCTTTCCATCAGGTAGTGTCACACTCTTATTAGCACAGGCTGCCACAGTTGGAGAGGCATCAACCTGAATTCTTGCCTGCACTATTTCTTTATTCCCAGCAGTAACAGCATGTTCCTTCAGTTCAGTGAGCTGTGGGAATTCTTCCTCAAAGTTGAGGAGGTCAAATCTTAATGCCTTAGACCGGGTAATCCTAGATGAGGACTCCCCAATCCCAGACTGTTTTTTTCTCATCCGTAGCAGGTTACAAATTCGCACAAAGACCTTAAGAAAAAAGAGCTTGGCGTAGTAAGCAAACAGACCTGGGCGTAGCCATCAAACCTGCATCCAGTTCGTTCAAAACAGACCTGGGCGTAGCTATCAAACTTGCGACCAGTTCGTGTTTAGGTTTGGCCAAGACTCAGAGATGCACAGAAACAAAAAATAGCTCCCTCAATCCAATCTTTTAGAGAACAGAGACTTTCGTCCCAGTTTAGTAGACAGAGCTCAGTAAACCTGTGAACAGAATTCCCCAATCTCCGGTAATGAGTCCCCAAAAACTTCTCAACAATTTCCGTCTACACAGATTCAGCCCAGCACCAACTCGAAGTACAGAAAACCAAACAAGAGCCACTGCAGTAGCTAGATTGACGAGACAAAATTAAATCGCGTATGAACAGTAACAACGCACAAAACCAGTTCGTATTTGAGATTTTTGGCCATCTTTCAACATCGTAGCACCAAATCCAAGCTCAGAATTGATGTTAGGGCTGAAATCTGACCAAGAAAACTCAAACTGAAACAAACATAAACATCAGAAACCAGCAAGATACGTAGAGATTCATAGCGCAAAAGAGCTGGGGAAATTTCCCAAGAGAAAGAAGCTCTCAACTTTTGCTTTCAGGCGCTAACAGAAACCTTTCTTATTCCTACCAGAAGGTTGTGGACTTAAAAAAATTTTTAGGAAACGGGTGACCTAGTTACTTATTGAAGATCTTTTACCCTTATACCCTTACTAACGGTATTACAGACCTTTTTTTTCATTTATTGGTAACTCGAAACCGCCAATAATCTCAAACGTCCACTAACCCAAAACCATATATTCCTTCTTTTCAACCTAAGCCGCTACTGCTCACTTTACTCTCAAATCTTTGAACTCCCTTTTCTCTCAAGCTCTCAAAATCTCAAAAACTCTCTGCAATGGCCTTCATCAATATCAACAACCTCACCAAAGAGGAAATCAACCTACTGGTCAACAATGTTTACACAGGGATGAACTACGACTTGTCCGCACTCCCTGAACTCGCAGCAAATCAAGAAACGATGTGGAAGATAATCCAAGGAATGAAAGATTCCCAACTGGACAAGGTCGTAGGATATCACTTCAACTCTTACAACACCAAGGATGTGGCTGAGTTCTATCTCAATGCCACATATGAAGGAGAAACCATCCATTCTCATGTCAACGGAGATAACATCATCCTCACTCCAGAGACTATCAACGCCCTCTTTGGCGTAGTGGCGGACCCCCAGGAAGAAGACAGTGAAGGGTTCATTATCCTAGAGGATGTCCGGACCACTGTTGAAAACTTTGTTCAACTTTACTGCAGACCTGAGGTTGGAGATGTACCAAAATTAAACATGAAGAAGAACCTTCTCCAGAGTGACTATGAGAAGCTGGTGAACATATTCCACAGGTGTGTCTGGAGCAAGAGCACCTCTACTCATGATATGACGGCTGATAAGTCCGTATTTAGACACGCATTTGATGCGTGTTCGGGTTGGATTTTGATGGTTTTCCTAGCTTTAAAGTGTTGCAAGTCTCAATGTTAGCTCAAGTTGCGATTATCAGGCGTTGGGTTGAGTTTCTTTGCATTTAGAGTTGAATTGAAGAAGTTAGAGTCCGATAATCAGCGCTTGAGAGGCATTCAGGAAGGATTTGAAGGCATTCGAAGAAGATTTAAGAGATTTGGAGGTCATCGGGAGATTCACGACGAAATTCTGATGAAGAACGAGTATTTGGATTGACCTCGTACATCTGGGAGCGTTTGGAACAAGAAAACGAAGAAAAAGTGAAGAATAAGGTCACACACGGTCGTGCCCGGTGTTAGGCACGCCGTGCATGCATAGGAATGAAGTGGATGAGCTACTGGAACCCAGGCACGGTCGTGCCTGGTAGGCAGGCACGCCGTGCCTGAAGAGAAACGAGGAACAAGGTACTGGAGGCCAGGCACGGTTGTGCCTGGCAGTTAGGCATGCCATGCCTGGACTTGTTTAAACGGGATGCTTCCGCAGGCACGGTCGCAGGCACGGTCATGCCTGGCGCCGTGCCTGACCCCATTTTGTCCTAATTCAGCCCAAATTGCCTTGTTTCCTATAAATAACACCCCCATAACCCTAATAAGGGGGGATGGACTTTAGAGAGCTGATTAAGGACGAAAATTAGAGAGCTTTTCAGCCACGTTTTTCAATTCCTTAACATTCTTTGTAAGTTCCTACTTTTTGATTAATGACAATTAATTCTATTCTTCCCAATTCCGTTGATTCTTCAATTATGAATTGTGAGTAGTTTTAATTAGGGATTTGGGGTTGATGAAGGAGTGTATCATGACGAATGGCTAGTTTCTTGATGGTTTGATTACATGAATGCCATTTAATTTGTGTTTGAATAATTTAACTGTTATCTTTTGTAATCTGGAACCGCGGCTAGAATTACAATTGCACATAGAATAAATTAAGAGAGATCTAGTTTATTCTAGGGCACATTCACACACACTTAATCATTCGCTAATAGATTAGTAGCAATTAAGGGGCCATAAGCTCGTTCGTCTTGATAATAATTTAGGATCATGTCGCATGAAAGATCAGCCTGGTCCCCTAAATTATTGTACTCTACGCCGTGAGAGCGGTAAGAACTTAGTATTGATTAGCTAGGCTCAATTACATTAAATTCTTGTAATTAAGCCTGATCTTCCATAAATCTTATTACACCGGAATCAATCCATATTCCATTCATCGTTAATTAAGAAGAACCCAAATCTTTACATTTATTCGCTCATTCGCATTAGTTTAATTTCAATTCAACCAATCAACCTCGCACGACGCATTTATTTAATTTTATTTCTTTTTAATCGCTGAATTTAGTTAATCTTTAATTCTCTTTTGTCCGTCCCTGTGGAGACGATACTCGTACTTTCACCACTATTCTACAATCTTTTTAAGTGCGAGAAAACTCACATCAATTTTTGGCGCCGTTGCCGGGGACGGTGTCAGTCTTAAGGGTTAATTTAACTCAATGATTCATTTTTAGTTTTTCGTAGGATTTTTGTCTGCTAACCTTGCAAGTCAGATCTGTTTATGCATACACGCTCCAAGAGGGGAGAACCGTTAATCCCTCTTAATCTTGAGATTGAAAAGCTCGCCAGACAGAACCGCAAGGCTCATAAAGAGAAATTTACCATGGACCATCAATCTTCATCTGGAAACATAAGGTCGTCTAGTAACCCTAACCGTATTACTCAGTCAGATTTCTATCATAACACATCACCCCAATCTTCACCACCAATTTCACCTAGAAACCCTCCAGGTTTTCAAAATTACCGCACTCCGATCTTTTCCCAAAATCAGCCTTCACCACAATTTAATCTCCCTCCATTATATCATCTTTTTCAAAATACCCCAACTGCTCCTGAAACCAATTTTCAAAACCAAGTTTATGGGATGCAAGGAGTAGGGCAGAGTATTCCCGTTTCCAATCGAGACAGAACCCACTTCCAATCAATCAACCTACATTCCAAAATCAGCCCCAGTACCAAAATCTGTACCCCAATCAGTTTCAAAACCAAACCCAAGTCCCACCTACTCAGCCACAACCAGCCCCCCAGCCTAGACATCAAGCGCCTCCACCAAATCCATATGTACCGCACAATAATCCACTCTATCAGCGCCAGACCATTGCAGAGTTCCTCACGCCAAACGTTTCAGAGTATGATAGCATTCAAGTACCGGGAATTACTGCCAACCGTTACGAGATCAAGCCGGCGGTGATCAACATGGTATCCAATAATCAGTTTAGAGGAGACCCTACAGAAGACCCAGTGGCACATATTATGCGCTTCCTGAGGATGTGCCAGACTTTCAAGATACCTGGGTTAACTGATGATCAGGTGAGAATGATGCTTTTCCTTTTCTCATTGAGGGATGATGCGCAGAGGTAGTTGGATAGCAATCCTCACCATCACCTCCAGACTTGGGACCAGCTGCATAGTGCCTTCATTAAAGAATATTTTCCTACGTCAAAGGCCCTGAAGTTGAAGAAGCAACTACAAGAGTTCAAGCAGGGATCTCTGGAGACACTGGCTGAAGCATGGAAAAGATTTAAGGTGCTGAGGAGAGCTTGCCCTCAGGGCAATTTGACTGATTGTGAGGTTCTTTTCTACTGTTATAGAGGGCTCAGCAATGAAGGAAAGATGATGCTCGATGCTTCGGGTGGTGGAGCCTTTCCTGATTTACCATCCGAGGTGGGGGAAGAACTAATGGAGAAAATTGTTTCAAAAAACGCATCTTGGTACAGCGATAGGAGTACACCTTACCAAAAGGCTCCGGGTTTGTATGAGATCAGTGATAATTCTGCCCTTTCTACACGCGTAGATACATTGGCAAGCATGATGTAGAAGCTCACAACCAGCATGGATGATCTAAGGAAAAAAATGGAACTTGCTCATTCGGTGCCCAGTGTAAACATGGTAGCCCCTGGTCCTATGAGTCATTCTTGTACTATGTGTGGGGGACTCCATTGGCCACATGAATGTAATATGATGGCACACTCGGCATCCCCTGGAGTGTAGCAAGTAGATGCAATGTATTTTCAGAGACAGGGCCATTACAACTAGCCCTACAGCCAGCAGTAGCAAGAGAATTACGGGCAAGAAAATCAACAGCAGCATCAGTATAGAAACTGTAATCAGCCTCAAGCATCTCAGGCCCCACAACAAGCACCTCAGCAAGATAGTTGAAATAGTACTATTAACACCCCGAAAATAATAACTAACTGAAGGGGGCTAGCACGTTCTCCAACGGATCAGCACACTGTCGCAGGGTTGCTCTGATACCACCTGTAATACCCCGGCCCCACAAGACCCGAGGTAGTTACTCCAGACCTCTAGTACTGTCCCCACAAACCACTACGAGCCTTTACCGCGCACTTTGTCCTCACTCATGCGCGCCCTGAGAAACATCCCAGGGGGTCACCCATCCCAAGATTACTCCCGTGCAAGCACGCTTAACTTTGGAGTTCTTGGGTGATGAGCTCCCTTAAAAGGAGATGCACCTCTGTTGGTATGAGTAGTACTATTAATCCTCTTATATTAATCTCGGGTATTACAATCACCCCCACTTAGGCTCAACTATTAATCCTCTGTGTTAATATTGCCTGATATCCAACGGATCAGCACACTGTCGCAGGGTTGCTCTGATACCACCTGTAATACCCCGGCCCCACAAGACCCGAGGTAGTTACTCCAGACCTCTAGTACTGTCCCCACAAACCACTACGAGCCTTTACCGCGCACTTTGTCCTCACTCATGCGCGCCCTGAGAAACTTCCCAGGGGGTCACCCATCCCAAGACTACTCCCGTGCAAGCACGCTTAACTTTGGAGTTCTTGGGTGATGAGCTCCCTTAAAAGGAGATGCACCTCTGTTGGTATGAGTAGTACTATTAATCCTCTTATATTTATGGGCGCAACGAGGACGTTGCGTTCCTAAGTGGGGGTGATTGTAATACCCGAGATTAATATAAGAGGATTAATAGTACTACTCATACCAACAGAGGTGCATCTCCTTTTAAGGGAGCTCATCACCCAAGAACTCCAAAGTTAAGCGTGCT